CTCAGCCTCATCCCTCCCCGAGGTGCGGTGCTGATTTATGAATGAGCTGTTATGTAAGGAGTAGGGGGAGGAAAAAAAAAAGACCTGAATACAGGCGACGCATGGATGGAGGAGGGAGTTGAGAATGTGTCTGGAATTCTGGCGACACGTTCAAAGGGATTCCGATTTGTTTGGTTTTTTTTTTTGTGGTGCTTCACGGGATAGTGACAACACCTTGGCGCTCACTCATTATTATTCGTGGTGACATTTGCTGTGAACTGGGTAGCCCAAAATTGGGCTCATTATTTTGACCCATCGGGTAGAAGATTGTATTTGGGTGAGCTGAGGAGATGACGCCATTTTTGGACAGTTTTGTTGCACTGAAGTTTCAATCATTTTTATTAAAATTTTGACCGAACGAGCTGGGTCAAATAATCCACCAGTGTTTGTAATTTCACCCTGAATACCAATAATCATTATTAATCACCCTGAATACCAATATCTAATTTTATGAGGAGCAGATATTATGAGCATCGCTCTACCACCATAAGCAAGTGTCAAGAGCTTGTCGTCGACTTGCCCGGACGAAAATATTTTCCTTTTCGCAAGCCAGCGCGACACAACGCGGGCCAACTATGTACAGGATGCTCGCCCATAAACCGCTCTCGTCATCGGGGTTAATACTATATCACAAGCAAGGACATCCGAGCAATAAAGCCAGCGAGCGAGAGCGAGGCACAGTGATGAGTTAATAATTACTCATTTTCATATTGTTTCCTGCAAAAACCCACTCAAACAACGGGCTGGGAGCGTTAACATGGCAACCAGGTCATAAACTGCTGTGAAAACCTTCCAGGGGGGACAACACAGGTGGAGTAGGATGAAAATATTGTAACTGAGTGCTGCACATTCAAGGATTCACACAACTTACCTTACATGACTGTCGGGGTGGACGTCAGAGGGGGAGTTTGAAGGTGTCCAATACAAAATGGCGCCGTCTTGTGGCAGTCTGCGGAACAGCAGAGGAAAAGACACTCTTACTACAATGGAGCCGTAATCGGAGATAGTTATTTAGCGTTTCGTTTACTTTCATGACGCTTTTGGTCAATTTTCATGCAAAATACTTTCTGCTTTTAAATTTTTTTTTTTGCTTGGGATAAATGTTTTTATTCTTGTTACTTTTCGCTACATTCCACTTGCTCCATCCATTATCGCGTGTGCCATCTATTTGTTTTGGTTTTGTCAAAGAGGGCGCTGCCACACGACTGACTATTTTCGGGAGTCATATTCTAAAGTATTGAGGACAATTTTTGGCTACTCAAAACACACACAGAACGAGTGATTTTCAAGTACACGTTACTTGAGTGTCACCTTATTTTCATTGGCTTGACTGTGCGGTGGAGTAATTTCTACCCCTACATTCTTTCTTTTTCTCTCTCTCTCTCTCTCTCTCTCTCTCTCTCTCTCTATATATATATATATATATACTGCATATATAAAATCAAGTAACGGGTAAATATGTAACGTAGGAGTAACTTTTGGTACCTGGCGGTTCTCTGTCGACGACCTCCTCCTGCTGTGCTCAAGCTGTTAAAATGCTGTGGCTCCCCCTAGCAGGGGAAGTTGTGTACTGCACTTCCTTTCCATAAATGCCTCTTTTTAGATGTCGGTCAAACCAACACATGAGAATTGCCGAAAAGGAAATGTGTTTTAGCTGTCAAAACTGATAACACAAAAGAAATAAAAATAAAATAACTCACATACCTGTGCGGAACCACAATGACAAAAAGATGAGTTGACAAACGATGCGTGTATTAAAAGTAGGACAGCTTTTAATGCATGATGATTTCGTACCACTGTGCGCCTGGCTCTTCCATGATACTGTATATGAACACACATTATTCATCTTAAGACTGTAAGTGAAGAGGGTGTCATTCTCTGTCCATGCATTTAAATAGCAACACAAGGGAAGGCTAAGGGTGGAAAGGAAGGGAGTGGGAAGAGGGGGGGAAAAAAAGGATAACACACATTAAACCCATCTTACAAAGGAAAACAAACAAAAATAAAGTCGCCCCCCCATAGGTCTGCAACAGTAGATTTCTTTCAAATAGATGTGGACTTATAATCTTATTTTGTCCGTCAATTTCAAACATTGACAGTAACGGAGGACACGTCGTGGTTCACCGTTCAGACCCCGGTGCTACTGTGACGGTCGTTGTGATGGTCGTTGTTGCAGTTTGCATACAGCTTGGTCCATGTTCGGGCTGGAAGGGGGTGGGGGTCAAAAAACAGAAGTGTTGAAATGTGATCAGTGGAAACATTTGAGGCAGATATTGTGCTTCAACTTTTTTTTGGAGGGATGCCGACCTGTCTCGATGGCGGTGCTTTCACTCTTCTTCCACTGCTCGGCAACGTCGTTTGCCAGGGGGTCGTCGGGATTGGGAGCGCTTAATAATGCCTGGATGGATAGCAACACTGTGCGGATTTGCAGGGCCGGAGACCACTTCTCTGGAGGAGGATGGGAAGATGGCGGTTCAAAACAGAACATCCGAAAAGCAACAAGCCAGGAGTCCGAAAATAAGCTTACCTTTCAAAATGTCTAAACATATTCTCCCCAGTCGGTCAACATTCGGGTGGTAGATTTTGGTCATGAATCGCACTTTGGGGGCTGCCATAGGGTACTCCTCCGGGAGAAAGAGTTCAAGTTTAAATGTGCCCCCTTCAAAAGGAGAGTCTTTGGGTCCCCCGATGACCACGTGGAAGTAACGTGCGTTGCCTTCATCGGGCGTCGCCGTGATGCCGGGTACGGGTTCCTGCATCAGCCGCTGCGTCTCCTGAGGCAGATCAGAACACACTTGGGGAAATCACCGCACGTCATGTCACAGACGGTCAAAATCAGCCACAGCGAGAGGGATTTTATGATTCGCCACACGCAAACGGAGAGATGGTAAACTTCTCAAGATGATACACAAAGTTTTAACAGCTAAGGTTAGGGCTTGCTGCTCAAGGTATTGATTGATAATTAATCGGTCAAGTGTGCCACAATTGGGATTAGTGAAGATAAATCTGGGCTCCCTTTCATTATATATGAAAGAATCACTGACTCAAATACATAAAATTTGCATGTAAAATATTCAATACACTCAAATGTATTTTAATAAAATGTGTAACTAAGCAGCCTGTTGAAGTGGTTTGTATTACATTTCAGTCCAGTAGATTTCTTTTCCACAACATCACAATTTTTAGTCCGACAATGTTAGTGAAATGTATGTGATATTTGGCAGTATTTGGCATTCATACATTTGGTTTCAGTCCTGAAGGACTTATGAGCAATACCTGAACTACAATGATTTTAAGATGATCTCATTTCATGCAAATCATGACTTCTTTGCTTTTATGTCGATGATCTTATGTCTCTTCCTCTCTTAAAAAAAAACGCCACACATTTTTGATGTAAAACTAAAAAAACAAAACACTCACACATCAATTCGTGATGATGATTTTGAGGTTTTCAATGTGATAAAGGGTGAGGCCGAAAACTGAGCATTCGCACAACAACAAGGAAGTGGTTATTCGATGGCGTTTGTCAGTTAGCTTTGTTATGCTAATCGGCGTGAAATCCTGCTCAACTTGATAAAAAAAAAAAGCTGAGGTGGTGGAGCAGGCTGGTGGGCCTCTGCCGGATCCCATCAATAAACTAATTTAAACGGAACTTGGCGTTCAACGCAGAATTAAACTGTGATTTCAACGTTTATCACGTGAAAGCCAACACCACAGCCACACAGTTGCTATCCTGGCGAATCCCATTCATAGGTCCACTCGAAACGCGCCATTATCTCAGTGTGATCACACCAGACGAGATCGCGAGGTTAATTTATATTTATAACATTGGAAAATAGATGTGATCCGACGTGGATGAGTGGACGCGAAGGAGCCGTAGTGGCAAACAAAACACTTAAAGCGAGACTAGCAGTTAGCCGCGGAGCTAACCGTGCTCACGTCAGGCTAGGCGTCCACAGAGTGCAGCAAAAAAAATTGCCCGTTCGCGTTGAAAAATCACATCTCTGTGCCCTCACGCGAGGACGTTTTACCACCCACGTTCAACGGCGTGTCGTTGGGAGTGTACCTTGACAATCCTGCGTGGCAAACCAGCCATTTTGGGTTGGCTTGTGTGTGTCTTTTTGAAATATTTTTAGCTGTGCAAGTCGCTTTCTCTTCAACCTGGATGGACTGAGCTACCGGGGCGGGGCCCACCACGCCCGCTTCCGGTTTGGTGTGACGTCACGGGAAAAATGCGGTCGGTCAGGACCGTCCGCTTTTGGGATTTTCATTTTTATTGTTTGTTTTCTGATGAACACAACTCACCTGCTGGTAGAAACGAGTACAAATTAAAGATAATCAAATAAAATGAAATTATAAATCAGAGACATGTTCCTACTGTATGTGTTATCTTTTTCCATCTGTGTATGTACTTAACTCTTCATTTTCTTTTGTTCTGCTCCTCTTCCATTTATTTTCACCTCTTCCTCAAAGCAAGTATGTATAAAAAGTGGGGATTATATATTTACATTGTTACATAATACACCTCATATGTACATTGCATACAGCTTTGTTGATATTAAGACATTTTGATGGCCTAAGAATGCCATTGTAGCGTTACTCTGCGCCCTATTTGAAAAGTAGCTATTTAATTCATTTTTCAATGAAACGTTGTTGATTGATCTGAGATTTAGATTTTGATGGACTTTGTTTCTGCAACACTAATTCTGAAAGTAAAATGAAGGTTTTCGAACAAACCTGTTCTGTAGTACTGATGTTGAGCAAAAAGCAGTTTCTATATTTAATAAAACTGCACAATCAAACGAAACCGTTATTAACCTCCCCACCCCTCACATTTGTTCTTGATTTTTCTCCACCTTCATAAGGCCCCGCAGGGATTATTGTTATGGATTTTAAACTTCTTAAAACCAATGTAGCAGATCGAGAAACGTTTGGAACAAAAAGGTACACTCAGGGCAAAATTATGTGCACATACGTGTTAGTTTATTACACAGAAAATGGCCATAAATTAGACATATACACAACTATCGGTCCTTTGGAGTATTGGTCTTGATGCGTCTTTTGTGGTACCTGTAAATAAACAGTAAGCGTATTGAAAACGATTTCATTTTCCATAAACTGTGCATTGCGTGTTGACTCACTGTCCAATCGGATACCAGCGGTGCTTGGTGGTGAAAAACATCTTGCTCAGCTCTTCTATGGTGGGACCCGGTTTGTGCCTCAAGACCTCCTTGCTGAGGTGGGCCTTCAACACCTGCTCGTGGGTTTCGGGAGGGCATCCCACCGGGTCGGGCCTCTCGATTCGCTGCAACGGAGCAAAGAGAAGGTCTATCAGAAAACAATGCAATGATCGGAATGCGAGTTATGTCTACTGTACTGCGTTCTGACCTGGGTGAGCTCATAGGGAATGTCCACGGTTGGGTGGTAGCAAACAACCGTTTTCCCGTCTGATGTCAAACCGATCTCCACGTCACTAATAGACACAGGAGATCAATTACAATCAATTACAGTATATTACAGTAAACAATACAAGAACCAAACCTGCAGTCATCAATGGAAGGACCACGGATATTGGACGCATCTCGGACTGGAACCAAGCAAGCTGCAAAACAAATTGTGATATTATCACATTTAGTCACGCCTGGTGGGTCGCCAATATTAAATTTGCTTTTAAAAGTCTAATTTTAATGTTTTCCGCTGGTCAGCATTTCAAGCGTTTTGGTCAGCCTCAAGGTTAGCTAGCGTTAGCTTTACTCGCAATCGTTGAAGGGCAACGGCGTAAAAACAAACATGTAGATATTCTGTTTGTATGAAAACAGAAAGTAGTAATTACCTTGGAGGCGTGGTAATCTGCTAAAGTAGGTAAATTTCGTTGCAAGACTGTTTATTTTGCTCAGGTGACCCGACGCCATGCTTTCTCCACGTACGTCACTATTTGTTTCCGGGTGACCTTTGATATTAGTTCCGCATCATAATAGTCTTTTAAATAGACGAGTTTTAAGGTTGTTATTAATAAATAATTAGATACTTAGTAAACCAAATCAGAATGAAATATAAATGGAGCATTTCGTTGCTATAGAAAATGTTATCCTATTTACCGGAACATTTTGGGCAACGTGCCCACCCGGAAAAACAAAGAGACGTACACGGTGGAAAAGAAACGCATACTTTTTAATCCGTTTGGAAATAAGACAAAATAATGTTTTATCACTATTTTTAAGTTTACTGAACTCTTATCTCACTGAGTAATTAAAAGTTATATTTTCTGTGGACACATTCTATTACCTAGTTTGAAAACAGCTGAAAATTTATCAAATCGTTAAAAAATCTTTTTAAAATACATTTACTGACCATACTGAAAATATAATTGATAAACTGGAATCCATCTCGCTATTAAACGTATAGAAATGTGATATTTTTCCATTTCATAAAGCAATACAATGCTCTTATATGCACTTCATAACAAAATGACTATGTACCCAATTGCAGTATTTCGTTATGACTTTGTTTTTCCAATAACTACTGCAAAAAGTGTGGTGATGAATGCAATAATAAAATCAGCCAACAAATAAGAAAACAACAATATGAAGTCAGAATATTCAAAAACTGTATTTATACACTGGATATACAGAATTTAGTTTAACACTTATAGCAGTAAATATGTATACCATAGTTTGGCATTTCTGGAAATGTACAAAACACTTTACGCTTTCACCAACCAACTGGCGACTCTAACAAAATGAACGCACTTATAGATGTGAGCTGTGATCCCACTACGAGGTGTCCATCCCTGCTGCGGCGGCAGCGCTGGACATTTCGGATCCCGCATTCACCACCAGGCGCTCCCGACTGCCGAACACCGAAGCCACTAGAGGTAAATATCAAAAATTTCAGAGGATCACGACAGAGAGGTGGTTAATTCTCGACAGAGACGGAATCGTAGTGATTTTGCTCCTACCTGCTGCAACATCGCTGATATCCCAAACCCGCAAGCCGTCTCTCTGTCCCCCGAAAGCGTAAGTGAAGGGCCGATCGGGACAACACGCCGCACAGAAGACCACACCCTGCGCACGCAAACATCAAGCGTCGCGCTTCTCCTTCTCCATTTGCGCCGTTTTTAATCAATCCGCACAAGCCCTACCATTTTCATGTCCCTCGAATGCACCAGAATTGGTTTGTCGCCCAAAACGTCCCACACCTTGACGTGCTTGTCTGCCGACGATGTGACCAAGCAGCCTTTAATTTGGCTGCTGAGATCCAAACCTAAACATGCGGAATGCAAAGTCGCTTAAGTGGGAAGGAACAGAGTAAAAAAAAATACTTCGTACTCAAGTCAATTTGTTTTTCCACGCACACCTGACACTTCGTCGTCGTGTGCCTTGAGTGTGAAAACGGGTTTATCAGCGCGAGCGTCCAGACAGTACACAAAGCCGTCCTCTGTGCTGGCCTGAAACACAATCACGGATCACCGCAGCCATTCTGAATATTTGTCCCTGGAATAACTGAGTGGCGCCTACCAGGAAGTTACACGGTGAAAAATGGTTCCACACCAGGCGCTCGACTTGAGCGCTGAATCGCCAGGCGCGGCAGCCCTCCGGGCTGCGGCAGTCGTAAAGTAGGGCCGTCCTACAAAGACAGCACAGTTTCCAAACACGGCTTCTTCCAACAGATTTAACACGTGGCGTACTTGTCATATGATCCTGACAGGAGAGTCTGCGCCTCAAACGGGTGGAAAGTCAACGTCTGAACCTGGATGATGAAAACAAGAGCGGCAGTTAGGTGTGCGAGGTCGATTCAAGAATGAACCCGCTCAATCGGCGCCATACTTTATCAGTGTGTCTGCGCAGCGTGGTGGCGGGTTTGCCTTGACTCAGATCCCACAAAATGACCGTCTCATCCGCCGAGCCGCTGGCCAGGACATTCCTGAGAATCAAAACAGGACACGTAATCACGAAATCACGGCATTTGGGAACATTGTTGTCGCAAAACATTTGCATTTGCGGGATGTTGAGGGCAGATCGAGGCAATGGTAAGTACCTTTGATTGACATACTGTAGCAGTCAAAACAGGAATAACAAAGTTGCTGTCGTAAAAGTAAAATACAGCCCCCAAAAAGTTAAATACAACTGAACAGAAATGCTCAAATATCAATCCAGTAGGGTTCAAAGCAAACATGATGCGTCAGCATTTGTCTGTTGTGCTGCAAGTCCATGTTCAAAACTTAAATGTGACAAGGCTGAAATTTGTCAAAGGTCGATTTTTAAGAGACCCAAAATGCAGTTTGCTGGCCAAATAACCACATTTTAAAAAATACCCGTGCTCAAGCACAAAACTGGGCACATTTATATTGATATTCTACAGAAATTACACTTCTGTATATAAATTGTACTTAGTGACCTGACTAGTTTGTTCCAGGACAAATCCAACACGGCATCGGTGTGTCCCTCCGCAAGCTCCGCTGATGCACCCTAAAATCCACCGAAACAGGAGTGCAACTCAAGTCAAACATTTTGCAGAAAAATTTATGTACATTTAAAAAATAATAATAATAAAATAAACCTTCTTGCTCTTTTTCTTCTTGGCCGCCTTTTTGCTGCCCAAAGTGAAGACGGGCTCCAGGCAGTCCACCACATCAAGGTCCCACACATCGATCTGCGGCGTCATGTTGCCCACCGCGGCGTAGTTGGCTGGACAGAGCGGGGGAAAATTATCTTTCACGCCAACTGTACGATACCAACGTGACAACCGAGGTTTTATCTTACATCGAGCTTCCTCAGGGTTTGGGTCGAAGTTGAGCCACTCGATGCTGAGCGGGTATGCCGGCAGCAGAATGTCGTGGTGCACATTTGCGGGATGTTGAGGGCAGATCGAGGCAATGGTAAGTACCTTTGATTGACATACTGTAGCAGTCAAAACAGGAATAACAAAGTTGCTGTCGTAAAAGTAAAATACAGCCCCCAAAAAGTTAAATACAACTGAACAGAAATGCTCAAATATCAATCCAGTAGGGTTCAAAGCAAACATGATGCGTCAGCATTTGTCTGTTGTGCTGCAAGTCCATGTTCAAAACTTAAATGTGACAAGGCTGAAATTTGTCAAAGGTCGATTTTTAAGAGACCCAAAATGCAGTTTGCTGGCCAAATAACCACATTTTAAAAAATACCCGTGCTCAAGCACAAAACTGGGCACATTTATATTGATATTCTACAGAAATTACACTTCTGTATATAAATTGTACTTAGTGACCTGACTAGTTTGTTCCAGGACAAATCCAACACGGCATCGGTGTGTCCCTCCGCAAGCTCCGCTGATGCACCCTAAAATCCACCGAAACAGGAGTGCAACTCAAGTCAAACATTTTGCAGAAAAATTTATGTACATTTAAAAAATAATAATAATAAAATAAACCTTCTTGCTCTTTTTCTTCTTGGCCGCCTTTTTGCTGCCCAAAGTGAAGACGGGCTCCAGGCAGTCCACCACATCAAGGTCCCACACATCGATCTGCGGCGTCATGTTGCCCACCGCGGCGTAGTTGGCTGGACAGAGCGGGGGAAAATTATCTTTCACGCCAACTGTACGATACCAACGTGACAACCGAGGTTTTATCTTACATCGAGCTTCCTCAGGGTTTGGGTCGAAGTTGAGCCACTCGATGCTGAGCGGGTATGCCGGCAGCAGAATGTCGTGGTGCACGTACAGAGAGTCCTCCTCAGCATTGTACACTGGCAATATTGAGGGGGAAAAAAAAAAAATAGTCACTGTTCACTGAGCACTAATCGGCAGCTCACAAATGAAACGAGTTGTCCAATTAATCGTTTCAACTCTGCTCGATAATTTTCGCTGGTTTCAAATCTGATGCTTACCGTAGACTTCCAGGTTGCAGCAGTCCTTGTCGGCCTTGCCGCACAGGACGAGGTTGTCGGTGGGCTTAATTTGGAAGTCGTCTCGCTCATATTGATCCTAAAAATGACGCCAAATGTCAATGTTATATTCCGAATCTTCATCCGGGCGTTCAACTCACAGTGTCTTTGAGCGTGATGTAAGGGTCTTCTTCATTTGAGCTGAAGACGGTGAGACCTGCCAGGCTGTCACCGAGGTTGGTTGACACTATACAGTTTCAAAAACAAAAAACGCCAATGTTTCTTGTATGTATGTTCTGATAAATGTCCTTTCTTCTGATTTACTTAATGGCCTCAACAAAATGTGATCAAAGCTCGTACCTATGTCTTCTTCATCATATTTATCCAAGCCGTATTCCGCAAGTTCATCCTCGTCTTCATTTTGCACTTCGGCAACATCGCCAACATCCTCGTCTGCAACAATGCCGCCATCCTCCTCTTCCTCTTCATCTGCTGCTTGTGCCCTGATTTTAAAAAATAATAATAATTCAGAAATGTAAGCACAAATCGATGAAAAAAAATTGCAAGTAAACGCACCCCAGCTCCTCTTTTGCCTCATTGATGATCCGGTGCAGCTCCTCCTGGCTCAACTCAACCTGTCAAAAGAATAGTCAACTTCATAAACATAATAATTTACAGATACAACTTTCAGGATTCTGTCAATCAAACAGATGGACAGGGCCTTGTTGACATCAGCGCTCGGTAGGCTAACGCTAACGAGCTAATCGTTCCGACTACTTTACTTACTTTGTCCGGAGTTTCCTTGGCAGCGCCTCGCTTCACCCATCCGACACATGTAATCTGAGAACTCATGATGTAAACCAACCCACTTGTAAAAAAAAAATTGGCTTCTCTATTGTGAAGAAATTATAGATTGTTCACCAAATCGCATACGGAACTAATTTTGCCAACAAGCCATGTGGTTTGTGCGCATGCTGATGACGTCAGAGCGTCGCAAAGCAAGACACGTCCGCCTGCTTACAAATGGCGAAAGCACCGTTATATACAGCTGCAAAAAAAATAAAGGGAACACTTAAATAATGTAACTCCAAGTGTT